ATTTACACGATATTCTAATTTTTCGAGTTTCACCTATACATATGGTAAGGGAAAATACATGCCAGTGTGCATTAAGCACCACCATGTATATACATTTTTGTGCTAATTTTTTTTAAAAAAAAGAACATTCAAACAAGGAACAGAATGGAACTAGAATTAATTCTGGAAAAAAGAGGAATTGAGCTAAATCAAATGTGATGCATTTACCCCTATTAATTGTAAGGCCCAGGTGTGTTCTTGATGACTTCTAACAATAAAAAACTTTGGCTCTTTTCACAGCCTTTCTCTTGTATCAACAGGCAGATGTGAAGTGAAATGTGAGTGTGTATAAATGAAGACTGACCTTGTTTGCATGTAGCTGTCATAATACATGGGGAAAGATGGAGAAAGATGTTACCAACTGTTTACATTCTAGCTAGATCGAGGGCAAAAGTCCAGCTGATATTTATCATACTATATTGCTTTCCTGCTCCAAGGGGTCTGCAGGCTGACAAACTCAGTTTATTAAAAGCAAGCTATGTAACCATGGGAGGTTAGATTATTAAACCCGTCTGATGATGCAGGACAAATCATGTAAGCTTTCCATGCAATCAAAGGGGGGAAGCAGATGCATTAAGAGACAGACTTATTGATTGTGCAAATATGTATATACGCATAATAAACTGACCTTTTTTCCATTTTTGTTTAAGTCAACTAAGCTGAGCAGAAATATGTGGTCCTTAGCACCAAGCAGGAGCTGACCCCTTTCTTCATCAAGCAGCAGGGTCCGAAAATCTAGTCCCTCCGCAGAGCCCAGGAACGGGATGCAGCTGTTAGAAAGCAGCAGGTCTGTGAGAGAATGAAGAAAATCCTTGTAACCGAGAATGTATAAACATGGTGCATTGGTGTCTTCTATAAATATATGCACCCAGCAGGATCTTTGTTGGTTAAGATAACTTAGTAGAGTTAGCAAAAATCTCTTTCTTAGAGAACATGGGGCAGAGGAAGGTTAGCACAGTAGATTTTTTTCATAAGTTCACATTATCAAAACTGAGGTTAGGTCACCTCCTGAAGCATTTGGAACTTTCCAGTTTGCAAAAAAAAAAAAAAATGTTCACAAGTGTGGTATAAGTTATCCAACTTTCCAACTCTAGGCTACTGCATAGGCTTTGGCTGTCTGAAGCAAGGAGTATTCTAGAACTGGTTCTACCTTGAACCAAGAAGTACAGAATGGTGGAATTGGCAGGGACCACAACAGTCATCTAGGCCAACCCTCTGCAATGTACAGGAAAGCTAATAAAACCATCCGCAAGAGGTGGCTGTCCACGTTCTTCTTGAAAATTTCCAGAGATGGAGAACCCACAACCTCTGTAGATACTGTATGCTGTTTCAGGAAACATTTACTTATGTTTAAATGAAATCTAGGTAGCTGCAGTAATATAACCATTATTTCTAGTTTATATGGCCAAGGAAAATAGTTTAGGGTTGGGTTTTCTTTTTCTTTTTTCTTTTTTTGGTCCTCTAAATGTTCCTTCAGCCTTTCTTCATAGTGGACATTCTCAATTTCTTGTACCTTCTTTGTCACCTTGTATGTGACTGGTATGTGAGAAAGACCTTGAGAGAGGGGAGATGCTGCCAAGGGAATGGTCAGATAAGAGAGGGCATAGCCCACAGCTGCATAATGGGAAGAGAAAAGGCCCAGAAGGGACCCTCCCTGACTTCTCAGGCCATAAAGGAGACAGCAGAAGAATTGTACTTTCAGACTTGCAAGATTCTGTTAATGTAGCCTTATGATAAAGTAGAATTAGCTCATCTGGTCATGTTTCCTGTCTGGTCTACCTGGGAAGGCTGACATCAATCTTGCAAGTCTGAATATATAAATCTCCCACCTGGTTAGACACTAACCAGGCCTGATGCTGTAAAATCATCAGGGATGATACAGTAATGTCACACAATTCTGATAAAAATAACATTATACTGCATTGGGTGTGGGTTTTTTTCCCTATTAGGTAAACGTTCCATTCCAATTCTCCCCCCCCCCTTTTTCCCCCCTTTCACATTATAATCTCCATCATGAAAAAAAAATCATGATGTTATTCAAAGAAGAAATATTTTAGTGCCACTGTCCAAAATCACTAACCCACGATTATGAGATCTATGGCTGGCATATGAGTAGATTGGTGACATTTGGTGACAAATGAAAATCTGGTGAAGCTAGAGGTGACCTTGCAGACAGCAACTATGTTCCTTCTAACTGTGTGGGCAATAGCATTATTAAATGAGAGTAACATTTGAATTACCGAAACCAGATTGATTATATACTTTGCAGCCAAAGATGGAGAAGCTCTATACAGACAGCAAAAACAAG